ATTCCAGGAGGAGTTGAGATAAGTCCGGCATCAGCAACAAACTCAAAACTATGCTCGGCAGAACGCAGATCTTAAAGTCATCTACCTGGAAGCTGCAGCAGAGGCATTCCAGCGGGCAGAAGAGGAAGCGCTGCTCCCGGCTTAAGAGGAGAGGATGCCGGGCGGGGGTTATGGTGAGGCTACGAGCTAACGCTAAAGCCGGTAAACTCCCCATGCCGTCTCTCTTTCTGTCGAATGTCCGCTCATTGGACAACAAGATGGATTTACTTCGTCTGAGAGCGGGCGCCTCAGAAGAGATGAAGAAGTGTGCGGTGCTTTGCCTCACAGAAACGTGGATTACAAGCGAAATGCCGGACACAGTCTTCCAGCTGGATGACAGACTTTTTTTTCGAGCAGACCGCTGCAGCGAGCTAACGGGGAAATCACGGGGAGGCGGAGTATGCATTTACGTGAGTAAAAGTTGGTCCACGAACTGTACTGTTGTAAATAGCTCATGCTCGAAGGCTTTGGAGCAAATAACAGTGAAATGTCGGCCACTTTATCTACCCCGAGAGTTCACGGTGACTTTCATCTCTGTCGTTTACATTCCTCCGGACGCTAATGCTAATGAATCACTGCAGGAGCTTCATGATATCATCAGCTCGCTGCAGAACAAACACCCCGAGGCTCTTTATGTGGTAGACTTTAACCACGTGAATCTAAAGGACTGTCTCCCAAGCTTTTATCAACATGTGGCGATTCCGACACGTGGAGACCACACGCTGGACCGTGTTTACACGAACGTAAAAGATGCATACAAAGCCGAACCCCGCCCCCACCTAGGACTGTCAGACCACATCTCAATCTTCCTGGCTCCTGCTTACATGCCCCCGCTGAGACGCTCCAGACCGGTACAAAAGAAAGTTAAATGCTGGATCCAGGACAGTGGCCCCATACTGAGAGATTGTTTTGACCGAACAGACTGGCAGGTTTTCAGAGAAGCTGCTGAAAATGGAGGTTCGCTTGATCTTGACCAATACACATCCTCAGTTCTGGGTTACATTAGTACATGTACTGACACCGTCTCCACTATCAGAAATGTTAAAAGCTACCCAAACAGAAAACCTTGGCTGAATGCAGAGGTGTGTACCCTGCTGGAAGCCAGGAACACTGCCTTCAGGTTTGGAAACTCAGAGGAGCTGAGTAGGACAAGAAAAGAGCTGGTTGCTGGTATTAAGAGGGCCAAGGGCACATATGAAAAGAGGATCGAGGGTCAATTCATCTCACAAGACCCTCGGAGCATGTGGAGGGGCATTAAGTGCATAACAGATTATAAAGGAAGGAGTGAGCAATGCCCCAAAGACCCATCTCTGCCTGATGCCCTCAACAAGTTCTATGCACGCTTTGAAGACCCGAACAGACCACCCAGCACCAGACTCACCTCACCACCGGATGAAGAGCATCTCCGCGTGACCTAAGCAGAAGTAAGGAGTACCTTCAGGAGGATTAATCCGCACAAAGCAACTGGCCCAGACAACATCCCCGGAAAAGTGTTGAAGGAATGTGCTGATCAGCTCTGTGAGGTGCTGGCAGACATCTTTAACACCTCACTTACCCTGGAG